CCAGCATCTTGGAAAGGAAGAAAGTGGAAAACAAGAGCCATGCATATCCACATGACCCACTTGGCAATAACTATGGCCCAATCAGCATCCCTTAATTATCAGATTAGAAACTCACTCAGGTGGGCTAGAGAATGGTGTTAAAAACCTCTTCCAACTTACTGCATTGGTAGAAATATTTTGATAGGGATACTGATCCTTAGACCTATAACTTCATTGGGAGGTTATTACACATAAGAATTCAGATAGGAAACTGAATTTTTTGTCTTTGCGAAAACCAGCTGTAGAAATAGAGGGACGCTAGATTTAAAACACAGTGAAGTTACTGCCTTAACCATAAATCCTAGGAGTTAGAAGTTTTGGAAAAATTTGCTCCAAGTACTTATTACAGTATCAAATATATATATGAAATTGCAGAGAAAAGGGTAAGGGTCAGGACTGTAAATCTATGACTCATTTAGAATAAGAGCAATATTTAAAACCATACTGTTAGATTACCATATGAGGCAATGTTAAGAGAGAATAACAGAGAATTCATTCTATGGAGAATAATAATGGATGTTAGTTGTAAAAGGATTCAGTAAGAGATAGAGTAAAACATCCATGAGTGATAAGAAAAAAAAAATGTGTGTATACATGTCTCCAGAGGCATGCCATCAAATAGGCCATGAGAGAAGAGTTTCTTTTTGTTCAGTGCTTTAAAAGGTAAAGAATACTGAAAATAGAAAGAGCAAACAGAGGTACTGGGATTTGACCCATTGGGCATTATGACCTTATTGTAAATGCAGTGGAGTTCAAGGAGAAAGTGGATTCAAGAGACTTGGAGTCAGTGCATGTGGATCACCTCAAGAAAGCTCTGTAGCAATATGTAGGGTGAGCAGCAAATAGAAGTATTAGTAGGACTGAAGGCATTGCCTCCTCTTGTTCTTGTGTTGTACACACATTTACCTCCTTCACTAGTAATAAGAAAAGAGTCAACTTAAAATTTAGGAAATTGAAGAAGTCAGAGCAGAAAAAGGCTACGAGCCTAAAGCTGATCAGTAACTGGGATGTGCATTCATCGCTATCATTTATTTAATTCATGATTTCTGACCAGCATTAGAACTTCTTGGCCACAGGAAATCAGAGAGCTGAAACTCCAAACCTTGGCTCTTGTGTTCCAACGAAAGAAAATTTAAAGTCAGACACCAAAAATCATTAAGAGAAATTTATCGTATGTGAAAGTGAGGTAAAAGTAAAGTAAAAGCAAAGTGAGTCTTAAAAGCAGAGAGCACTTGAGTAGGCTGTCTCCAAGCAGAGAATGACAAAGGAGACAACCTTGTCTCCAAGTT